GTCTGTCTATTGTTTTTCCCTTTTCAAAGAATCATCTTTTTTTTAAATAGAATTTTTGTGTATTTCATACAGAAGTGTTCAAACAATCTTAATCTTTTTTATACCCCCATCCCCACTGGCACCCCTCCCCACCCCCTGGAGCCCATATACTCAGTCATCCCTATTAAGGCCCACTGGGTTGTGCCCCCAAGATAAGAGTGCCACTACTGTACCAATAACATATGCTGTGCTGGCCATTGATGTGGTTATTTGGTCTTTGAAGCTGGTGTTGGATCATCTATTGATGTTTTCCCTTGACACCTTCATAGTGCTCTCCAAAGCTATGAGAGCTAGCCTTCAGAGGAAGTGGTTGCAGGTCACTTACAGCTCTATTGCTCCAAATCCTGTGTCCAAAATATTTTCTGTCTTCAGCTGTAGGGTCTTACCTTCAAGTTCTGGGAGGCCATCAAGGGCGGTGGCAATAGCCTGAGTAATTTTGGGAGTCTCTTGGACCACCCTGGCCAACAACTCAAAGGAAGATATCTCCTGTCTGTCACTGTTTCTTATTCTGTAGCCTTTAGTTATACACATGGACTCATGTAGAGATAATATGTGTATAATTTGTCAGTAGGTTGTTGGACTAATATGGTTCCTTTTGATTTTTAATACTAGCTAGCCATTATTTATCTCTCTCTCTCTCTTTCTTTCTCTCTCACTGTCTAACCCTTCTGAGATGGTTTCCCACATTTAAAGTGCTCCCATTTTCCCCATTTCTCCCTTGATAAAACCTGTCACCTATGGTCCCACCTCTCTTGAGCTTTCTTTCCCTTTATCCCAAAAGTTCCTTGTATAATCCACCCTCCCCCTCCCATTTTAAATAAATCCATTTTAATCCATTTCTCCCTTAGTAACATCTGTTTCCTGCTGTTCTTCTCTCTCAGGTTCTTTCTTTTCCTTTATCTACCTGGTTCATTTTCAGCAGCCTGGTTCCTGCAGTTATGTCTGGGTACATATTCACTTGTGAGGATTTGGTGCTAGGATCCATGAAGGGGAAAACATACATCTTTTTCTTTTGTCTTTATACTTCACTTAGTATAACAGTTTCCAGTTCCATCCATTTACCTGCAAATTTCATGATTTCAACTTTCTTTACCACTGAGTAGAACTCCATTGTGTAAATGTACCACATTTTCATTATCCACTTGTCAGTTGAGGGACACTTAGGTTTTTTTCTGTCTCCTAGCCAATTGTGAAAAGAACAGAAACAAACATGGATATACAAGTGTCTCTGCAATAGGATCAAATGGTAGGTTCATTTTTAGTGTTTTAATTATTCTCCACACTGCTTTCCATAGTGGTTGCACAAGTTTGCAATCCCACCAGCAGTGGATGAGTGTTCCCCTTTCCCCATATCCTCTTCAACATTTGGTATCATTTGTTCTTTTGATCTTAGCCAGTCTGACTGGGGTAAGATGAAATCTTAAAGTGGTTTTAATTTCCCTAATTACTAATGATGGTTGAATACCTTTTAAGATGCTTCTTAGCCATCTTTATTTCTTCTTTTAAGAAATCTCTGTTCAGATCCTTAGCTCATCTTTTAATTGGGTTACTACTTGCTTTCTTGGCTCTTTGTGTTTTGTGTTTGTTACTGTCATTTTATTTTCTGTTTGTGTTTCTGTAATTATGCCGTCTTTTTTTTTTCTTTGTGTAGACTCTTGGAATTTGGTCATTCCTTTCGTCAGTCCTTTATTGCGTTGAGTTTTCTCTGTAGGGCTGGTTTTGTGGATCTGAATTCTTTCAAGCCTGTTAATGTCATGCAAAAATTTTATTTCACCTTCGACTGTGATAGACAGCATTCTGGGTTGACATCTATGATCATTTACAACTTGAAATACTTTGCTCAATGATCTTTTGTCTTTTATAATTTGCATCGAAAAGATAGTTTTAATTCTGATGGATTTTCCTTTATATGTAACCTATTCTTTTTGTCTTGCTGATTTAAGCACCCCTCTATTTAGTATTTTTATTATGATATGTTGTGGGGAGTTTCTGTTCTCATCTATTTGGTGTTCTGTGTGCTTCTTGTGTCTTTATAAGTATGCTTTTCCTTAATTTAGGGAAGTTTTCTTCTCTAATCCTGTTGAAGATGTGGTCAATACTATTAACCTGAACTTCTATTCCTTCCTTTATGCCTAAAATGCATAAATTTGGCCTTTTCATTGTGTCCCACATTTCCTGTATAATCCATTCCTGTATTTTATATATTTTTAATATTCTTTGCTTGAGCAGTTTAATCTTCAGCTTCATTGCCCAGTCTTGGAATTCTGTTTTCCATTTCATTTATTCTGTGGATAATGCTTTTCCCTGTCATTTCTAATTGGTTTATTATGTTTTTCAGTTTATTCTTCATTTCAGCTTTAGTTTTCTTCAATATTTCTATCTCTTTTGTGAATTCACTTTTCAAATGCTGAAGTGATTCTATCATTTCACTTAGCTGCCTGTTTGTATTTTCTTGAGCCTCAGCCAGGAGTTTATTGCTATCTTCTTTGAGCTGTTTGTGTATTCTTAAAAGTCATTGAATTCTTTGAACTTGTTTATGATTATTCTTTTATATGGGGAAAAATTGTATTCATAATTAGCCAATTGGACTGCTTAGATGACCCAATTTTGTTGGCAACATCCAAAGCATCATAATCAGGAGTCAGTTGAATATAGGCCTTCATTCCATCAGGTCTGACTAGGGTATTGGCTTTGGCCACATCAGTGTCGAGGAGTTTCTCCACAGCCTGTTTGATCTGGCCTTGTTGGCCTTGACATCCACAATAAACACAAGTCGTTGTCTTCTATCTTCTTCATGTCAGAGTCAGTGGTCAGGGGGAATATGATCATGGCCAAGCCTGAGTTGTGGAGAACAAAATGGAGTTAACTACTCTGAGCTCAATATTCTAAAGGATGAGCCTTATTTCAGAGCCAAGACCAGGAAAGGTTGCTCTTTTAAATTCTGTGTCCTGGGTTTCCTCTGAGTAGTTTTCATTGTAGAACACTTTTATAGGCTTTGGTGAAGACACATTATTTTGGTTTTTCATATTATTGTGTTTTTTTCATTGTGATCTGGGCATATGGATTTCTTTTGTTAGTCGTGTGTCTGATGTGAAATTCTAGTCTGCCTTTGTTGAGTTGAAGTTTGGTTCTGTTTTTGTTGTTGATGTAAATTGGTTGCCTTCTGATAAGCTATGAATAGTTAATTGGTTTGTGTTTCAAGTTCTCACTTTGTATTTTTTATTTAGAGGGAACAGATGGTTCTAGGCTGGCTAGTTGGGAGCTCTTCAGCAGGGTTAAGGAGCCTAGGCACAAGATGGGATGAGGAGGATCCAGTAAGCAGTTCTGAATTGGCTAAGCAGAGAAAATATGAGCACTGGAGCAGCAAGAATGGGGCTGGTGCCAAAGCAGGGCAATGGTGACACAGTGGACTGGATCATGGTGACTCACTGGCACTCTCAGGCAGAGGCAGCAGTTTGGAACCTAGGCCCATGGAGGGTCAATAGGACAATATTGTTTCATTTTAACAAATGTACATATATAATAATATAGGATGTTAATAATATAGAAAAATTAATTCATGATCTTTAGGGACTTCATTTTCTCTTTGTAATAATGTTTTAAAAGTAAAATGATACCAAAATAAGTATTTTGTTAAAAATGAATGAGGAAGTTACATAGACTATATCGGTTATCTATACTCAAGTAAAATCTGTGTGTGCTAAAGGACCTCTTTGAGTTTACCAAAGAAAAATTGGGTCTTAAAATAAATTGTATTGAAAATTTATTACACTATCTTATCATTAGATGGCTTCAGAATGATGAAATGACAGGCGTTATTAGCAATGCAGTTGACACTACTGAAATGATCACCATCAAGCGGCGGGTGGCTTGACAGGAAACTGCATATGCTTACCTAGGGTCATCATCACTTTTTTAGTGCAAAATCACATACGAAGTTCTCATCAATGAAACTCCCTCACGCAACAGAGGGCCAGGAACACAAAAGTGAAGTTGCAATGTTACAGCACAGAATCTTACCACAGAGAATTCAGAACAGGGGTAAGTGAATCTAGCATGTGTTCTTTTAATGAAATGAGCACCTGCTTTACAGTCATTCTAGAATGCCATTTGTTCGCCAGTTTTGTATAATCATGATTTCCTCAGAAATGTTCCTTATGAGTTCACCACACATTTTCAAGGAAACCATAAAAGCTGCAAGGTTATTTTCTCCTTGCTATGGATTTCAACTACAATGCAACCTCTACACCTAAGGTGCACAGAACATAGAACATATGTAAAGAAGAGGACAAATGAATCTTTCAGTTCTCATCAATGAAACTCCCTCACGCAACAGAGGGCCAGGAACACAAAAGGTCACAAATGGCCAAAACATAGAGATTAAAAGGATGCAGAATGCTGGTCATTGGACAGGGATCCTATATTAAACTTCACCACTCACTCAGGGCTCAGGGACCATCACAGAAGAGGGGGCAGAAAGATTGTAAGAGCCAAGGAGGAGGTGCATGACCATAAGGAAACAGACTCCTACATGCTCCTTGGGCAAGCTCATATGATTCTATGGCAATTATGTCAGAGTTCACAAGTCCCATGCAAACTCAGGCATACAAAAACCCAGCATGGAACTGGTGAAATGAACAGCAGACCCCAATCTCAGCTGAAGAAATATTGGCAGCTGATTACTGCTAGGTGAGTAAGAGCTGATGTCCTAAAACAAGGAACTATAGGTAGATTGACTAGACCTCAGTGGATGGACTTGCACTGGGGAATGTCTGGAGACACTAACTTGACACATTGGGCCTTAACACATATGACAGAGTATGTGGGTTCCAGTGCAGGGGGTGGGGGGGCGCTAAGGGAGGGTGTCAGTGAGGCAGGGGGATTAAAGAGGATTAAGATTGTTTGAGATATTCTGTATGAAGTACACAAAACCTCAATTTAAAAAAAAGGGAAAAAAAGACCTGCTCATTTTGGCAGCACATATACTAAAATTGCAACTATACAAAGATTAGCATGGCACATCTGTAAGGATGACCCACAAACTTGTGAAGCATTCCATATGAAAATAAAAGAAGGTATCCCAGATCCAGAAAGACAAATGTCACATCTTCTTTCTCATATACGAGGCTAAATTTGAATCCTTAGATATGTGTGTTTAAGTTGGAATACCCAGAGAGGTCATAAAACTAGTAAGGGGCCATGGGGGGGGGTTAAAGCAGGGGAGATAGAACACAGGTGGTATAAAGGAGAAATGGGGAATAATGGAGCAAGAAATATTAATTGGTGTTGGCGATGTGAGGATAGGGTAGAGGAGGAAATTTGGAGAGGAAAACTAACACTAAAGACCTTTGGAAAATGTCATACTGTAGAAGCTTCCTAAAATATACACATATACATTTATTAACAGAGTTGAAATAGTGTTGCTCTGGAATGGGAGATAATACCACTCTTAGACTACATAGATTATTATATAAAAGGCCCAGCACTAGGAATGGGTTTCTTCTTTTGGAGTTGTTGATAAATGGGATCCCCTAGCCATCTCAACATTGAAGTCTATTGCGATTGCCTTTGATTAGCCTCTATAACTTGATGATAAGACTTGCTGGAAACACCATATTTTGAGTCCTAGTACATGGAAAAATCAAACTGGTTAAAAACCTTAACTCATCATCCCTACTGGCTAGCTTTCCTGGTATTGGAAGGTGCTATCAAGGTTATTAAATTAGAAAAGAAATCATCAGTCTTACCCAGTTTTTAACACTGTGAGATACAGCAATGAAAAGATGGCAAGATATGCCCATGGATGCAATAGTGGCATGAATGTTATAGGGGTAACCAACCACTGTTTGGTTGGGTTTAATGCTCAGTCCACAAAATAGAACCCATCATTAACTGGGCCGAAAAACAGTGGCTGGTTAGATCACAGATGCTAGAGTAAATGGACAAGTAATAAACTGCCAACTAAAGTCATATCTCTATACCAAGAGACTAGAGCATCACTCAGCCCTTAATAGACAATATTGTTATTGTAGTAGATAGAAATTTATACAGTGACCCACAACAAATCAAAATTTAGAGAATCAAAGACTGTAGAGTGTTCATCTTTAAATTGGATATCTATAACACACTCCCTCCCAACAAGATTCAGGGGTCATTGATGAAGAGGGAACAGAGAGATCATAAGAGTCAGAAGGAGTAGACTACTACAGCCAGACATTATTTTCCAGAAATGACAGCACAGGAGCACACACAAATTCATCATAAGGGTACATGCATAAGACCTGTGCAAGACCAAGCCAGTCAAAATCTTAGCATTGGTAAGGGAGAGGCTCAAGAATTCCCACCCATATCTAAGTTGTTATTGGCAATTGGTGACTGTTAGGGTGAAGAAGAGTCAGGTTTCTTCAGGGATGACATCCCTCAGAGGCTATCCATGCTCATGTACCCCACACCCATGTGTATATAAGCAGGACAAAATGGACTCAGTAGGTATTAAATTTTAAAAAGAGCATGTAAGTTTGTAAGGAAAATAAGTGTAGGGGTGATAGGAGAGTAATTAGGGGGGAAGGAACTGGAGTTGACTAAAACCTTACATGCATGTACGAAATTCTCAATAAATTATTTTAAAAAAAGAGATCATAGTGGGAAGGCAAGGTCCACATGAGGGCGTCCATGGCAGATGGTCCATGTGATATAAATGGGAAAGGGGGATAATGGATAGTAATTGGGCAATGAATGAGGGGCATAGAACAGAAGAGGGAGTAAGAGGAGAGATGACTAACACTAAAGGCCTTCTGAAAGGGTCATATGGAAACCTACTGTAGAAGCTTCTTTAAATACATTCCTATGCCATATAGAAAGCATTAAAATATAGCTATCATATAACGGGGGTTGAGTGGCCTAATACACATCACAGGCTAGCAAATGAATAGCCCAATGCCAAGAATTGACTCCCCCTTTTGGAGATGTTCCAATGCATAAAGAACCTTTGATAAAATTAAATATCACTCATATTTTAAAAATCTAGAAAAAAACTAGATATAGAAATAATATAATAAATTATAATAAAGCAAAAGTTAGCATTATATTTAATTTAAAAGCAAAAAGCTCTGGATAGCCAGAACAATCCTGAGCACAAAGAGCAATGCCAGGATTACCATAACAGACCTCAATCTATGTTACAGAGCCATAGTAATAAAAAAAAATTGTACTGGCACAAAACAGACTTGTAGGTCAATGAAAAGAAATAGAAGATCCAAACATGAGTACAAACTATTACAGCCACCTGATATTTGACAAGGGTGCCAAGAACACACACCAGAGGAAAGACAACAAATAGTGAAAGAATTTAATTAGACCCATATCTATGATCGTGCACAAAAATCAACTTCAAATAAACCAAACCCTCAATGTGAAACTTGAAACTCTGAAACTATTAGAAGTGCCCTATAAGACACAGATGCAGGAAACAACTTTCTAAATCAGATATCAGTCACTCAAAACTTAAGGTCAAAAATAGACAAATGAGATCTCATTAAACTTAAAAGCTTCCGTACAACAAAGGAAACAACCAATTGAGTGCAGAAGAAGCCTACAGAGTGGGAAAAAATCTTTACCAGCTATTCATCTGACAGAGAATCAATACCTAGAATATACATAGAACTTATAAAACAAAGAAGCAAGAAACAAATGACCCAGTTAAAAAATGGGCTACGGATCTGAGCAAAGAGCTCTCAAAAGAAGAAATAACAATGGCTAAGAAACACCTTAAGAAGTGTGCAACAACCTTAGTATTCAAGGAAATGTAAATCAAAACTGCTTTAAGACACAAAACTGCTTTATGACACAAAAGTGCTGGTGAGGATGCGGGGGAAAGGGCACACTCATTCATTGTTAGTGGAGTTGCAAACTGGTGAAACCACCGTAGAAATCAGTATGTAGAACTCCAAAAAAAAAAAAAAAAAAAACCTAAAAATAAATGATCTAGTTGTTCCACTCCTTGGCATATACCCAATGCATTCATCCTGCTGCAGAGATACTTGTGCACCCACATTTGTTGCAGCTCTTTTCACAATAGCTAAGGAATAGAAACAAATGCCCCTCAAATGATGAATGCATAAATGACAATGTGATCCATCTACAAAATGGAGTCCTAGTCAGGAGTAATGAAAGAAAACAAAAGCATGAAATTTGCAGGTCAATGGACAGAACTAGAAGCTGATGTACTAAGTGAAGTAAAACAGACTCAGAAAACAAGTGACATATGTTCTCTCTCATTTGTGAGTCTTAGTTCTGAATCCTTAGTCCTGTGTATATACTCTGATATAACTGCAAGAGCCAAGAAAATGGAAAAGAACCATGTGGATAAAGGGAAGGAAGACCTCAAGAGAGGAGGATAATAGGAGACGTGTTTCAAGGGAAAATATGGAAAAAGGGGTTACTTTAACTGGGGAGCAAGGGGGGAATGTTACACAGGTGGAGTGAAAGGAGAGATAAATAATGGTTTGAAAAACCAGCTGGAAATGTATTTGTTTAAAGTTCTATGAAAAATACATATACAGTAAATATAAAAGTGCATGCATATTGCTGAAGGCTATTTAAACAAAATAGTGCCAGGCAGGAGAAACTTCACTTCAAGTTGTTGGTCAGGTACTTCAAGAGATTTCCAGCATAACACAGGCTATTACCATAGCCCATGATTGCCTCACAGAACTTGAAGGTAAGATTCTGTTGCTGAAGACAGGGAACATTCGAGACGCAGATGTTGGAGCAATGGAACGGAACTGACATGGAAGCCTCCTCCCTGAAGGCTAGCTCTTGTAGTATCAGAGGATACAATACAAGCTGCCAAGGGAGAAAAATAATCAGCAGTCCTACCCAGCTGTAAAGGCTGATAAACAAGGGCTTGACCAACAAACTATCACTATTGGTGCAGTAGTGGTACTTTTTTTCTTGGGAGCAATCAACAGACAAATGTACCTTTCATCTCTCATCAAAGAAGCTTCTTTTTGCAACAGATGGAGACTTTTATGGGGTTCCAGAAAGGGTCAAATGTAGAGAATACATGTCTCTGAGATGCCTAACTCTAAGTGACATACCTTCAATGCAACCTCTACACTTAGGATGAATGCATCTCTCACCTCTCACCAGACAAATTACCTTATATAGCAGGTGGTAATTAGCACAGAATCCCACAACTGGCCAATGTGCAAACAACAAGAGGCCACAGAGTGCTTATCCCTAAATAGGATACCTATTCCAAACCTTGGCCTCCCATAGCTCAGGGATCATTGTGGATGAGAAGACAGAAAGATTATAATAGCCCGGGGCCGGGGGAGGGAGGCGGATATGACGACAAGGAAACAGAATCTTTCAGACAGCTGGTCAGTTACTCATATGAACTCACAGCAGTAGTGACAGCATGCACAGTCCTATGCAAGCTCAAGCCAGACAAAATCCCAGCATCAGCATGAGGAAGTGGATAAAATATCCCCACCCAACCAATAAAACTTTGGTAGTTGATAGCCACTGGTAGGGGGAAAGCAGTATCTTATGGGAATGGAACTTTTGGTGGCCCAGTGAGTGGACTACACTGAATGATGCTTGGGGGCACAAATCATACTTGATAGGCCACACACACACACACACACACACACACACACAAAATCTGCAGGGGGCAGTAGAGGAAGGTGTGTATAGGGTAGGGGATCTAAATACTATCAAACCCTATTGGGTAAAAATATCACAAAAATTCAATAAAAATGAATAAAAACAAAGCAAAAAGGGTTTTCTTATGAGGTGGAATAGGAAATGAAAGCCCACTTTTATCACTTGTATTTAATATAATATTAAAAATGCTAGCCAGAGAAATAGGACAAAGGAAGAAATGAAGATCTCCAAGTTGGAAAAGAAGACACTAAATTTTAATCTTCGCAAATGATATTATTGTATGTGTGTGACACCATAAAACACACTAATAGAAATACTAAATTAATTTAGTTAAGTTGCGGGATACAAAAATCAACATTGAAAAATTAGCAATTTTGCTGTATGCTGATAACCTTC